GCTTATCCTTTAAAAAAAATCCTTTCCTGGGGTGCCTGGGTGGCTCAGTCGTTTAAGCATCTGCCTTTGGCTTGGGTCATGATCCCAGGGTCCCTGGATCAAGTCCCGTGTCAGGCCCCCTGCTCAGTGGGGGGGGGGGGGTCTGCTTCTCCTTCTCCCTCTGCCCCTCCACTCATGCTCTCACTTTCTCAAATAAATAAATAAATAAATAAATAATAATAAATAAATAAATCTTTTCCTTCCACTTTTTCTTTTCTTTGTTTTTTTGTTCTGCCTTCTGGAAGATGTTAATTTTATCATTCAACTTTTCTGTAGTTTTTCATTCTTACTCTCCATTATTTGTGCGGAATTGAGTTTTCACTCTTTGACTCTCCCTTCTTTATAACATCCTGTCCTTGTTTTATAGGTATGACATCTTCTCTTACCTCTCCGACACTAATATATTAAATGGAGTTTTCTTCTCTCTCCCATTCTCTTTCCTCCAAGATACTTTTTGCTCTGTCATAAAATAGCATACCTCAAGTGTAGCAGCTCCTGGATGTCTGCTTATATTTAAGAGTGGGCTAGGTGGGGTAGGGGCGCCTGGTGGCTCAGTCGGTTAAGCCTCTGCCTTCAACTCAGGTCATGATCCCAGGGTCGGGACCCTCCTGAGCAGGGAACCTGCTTCTCCCTCTTCTCCCACTTTGTTGTCTGTCACTGTCTCTTTCCCTCTCAAATGAGTAAAAAAAAAAAAAAAAAAAAAGAGTGGGATAATAAAAGGATGCTACAAGCTCTGTGTATTGGGGGAGGGGTGGTTGTTGGCCATTCCTTGTGCTATAAAGTGATCTGGCAAGTCCCAGTCTGTATCTATAGGGCTATTGTCAGGGGCTGGTGAAGACCCCAGAGGAAGGCTTTTCCCTTTTCTTCACTGTGGGTATGAAGCTGGTTGCTGATGTCAGGGAGACTAGTAGGGGAAAAGTCTTGTTAAGTGTGTAAAATTTCAATATTATCTTCATTTTTAGTAGGGTACGCCTTCTTTAAGTAGGTTGGAAACTGTTTCTTTTCCCCCAAAGAAATCTGCAGTGCTCTTCTAAACAGAGATGGGAAAGAATGTCTGTAGCTCTAGGGATTTTGTCTTTGTGTTTAAATGGTCTAGTTTGGGAGATCCTGACTGGCTTAGTCGTGGGATGATCCCAGGGTTGATTTCATCTCAGGTCATGATCCCAGGGTCGTGAGATTGAGCCCCACATGGGGCTCCATGCTGACCATGGAGCCTGTTTAAGATTCTCTCTCCCTCTGCCTCTTCCACCTCTTGTGCACTCCCCCCCACCCAAAAAAAGGTGAGAGAGATATTTTCATGTGTATTATTGTATTATTTAACATACACACACAAACTTACTTGGTAAAAATCTTATCAGGAAGAACATGTTACTCTTCCCTTATTGGAGATAAAGGCATTAAGCTCATAGATGTTAAGAATTTTTTTGGTGGCGGGTGCCTGGGTGGCTCAGTAGGTTAAGCCTCTGCCTTCGGCTCAGGTCATGATCTCAGGGTCCTGGAATTGAGGCCCACATCAGGCTCTCTGCTCAGCAGGGAGCCTGTTTCCCCCCTCTCTCTGCCTGCCTCTCTGCCTACTTGTGATCTCTCTGTCACATAAATAAGTAAAATCTTAAAAAAAAAAAAAAAAGAATTTTTTTTCTGAAGTCATACAACAATTCCTTGAAAGAGCTAATTTTTTGCTTCCTGAAAAACTTTGACTATTTAAAGAACAAGCTCCCAGTATCTAGAAAAATCATCTTATGCCTGATAATATCTGTTTCTGTGTCCCATCTTTGGGAATTGGGCTCTCCTCCAGGGATCTACCCTTCTGTCTTGAGGGGCACTCTCCCACACCAGTGGCTCTCCATCACCCTGAAGACCTCCTGTTTCCTTGCTGCCAGGGAAGGCTGTAGGTGGGAACTTGCAAGTCCAGCTGGGGACCTTGAGCAAGTTAGCAGCCTCCCTCCCGGTGTTTCGGTGCCCTGACTGGTCAAGGAGAGGTAGCAATTTATAAGATCACTGCAAGGATTAGATTAGTAAATATATGTAATTCTCAATAAACTTTAGCAATTAGTATTTCATTTTTCTAAACTCTGGGATCAGAGAACCTTATTTATCTTCTCTAGAAGTGGTATAACCAGCACTGTAAACCTTCCACTGTAGGTAAAGCTCCTATAGTTTGCTGCAGGTTACATATAGCAATGACATATAATTCATGGTATTGAGGGGACAAAACAATGTTTTAAAGAAAATACCTCTCATGGGCACCTGGGTGGCTCAGTTGTTAAGCACGTGCCTTCGGCTCAGGTCATGATCCTAGGGTCCTGGGATCGAGTGCCACTCTGCGGAAAGCCTGCTTCTCCTTCTCCTGCTCCCTGTGCTTGTGTTCTCTCTCTCTCTGTCAAATAAATAAATAAAATCTTAAAAAAAAAAAAAGAAAGAAAGAAAGAAAAGAAAATACCTCTCAAAAATTTGTGTAGGCATATACTATCTGTAATTCTAAAAACCTCTCCTTGTCTCCAGTTTTGGGGTCATAACCCGCCTGTCCTTTCAGACTTCATTCCATTTAGGTTAAGCTTTGAAATCACCAAAAGACGCTTGGGTCCCCTTTTTCTGCCCTGTAGATTTTTCAGATTCTGAAACAAGGCCAGTTCTGCTTCTGATGGTTGTCTTCAATAAAGCATAAACAGCAGAGCCCTATTCCACATTTTATGATCTCTGTGCTTGGCAGAATTTTCTTCCAGAACGGCCTCACCCTTTTACACCAGGGCTTGCTGTCGTCAGACGGCACACCTCTTTTGCTACTCGTGCTTACTGCCACAGCTGCAAAGAGGCTGGTGGCTCAGAAAGGCCAAGAGGTTTGCAGGCCCCGCTAATGGGTCTCCTGGTTCAGTTCATTGTTTCTGATCCTGTGACCAGGCGTGTGGTCCCAGCCATTCCTGGCTCTGCTTCTGTCTCAGCAGCTGGGGCCTCCACTCCCCTGGTCCAAACAGCTTCTGCCTGAGGCAGTAACCCCAGCCTCAAGCCCCACAGCCGTCCCCTAGCTTTCTGCCCTTACCCGCCAAGTTGTGAGCCGGAGTCTCCAGAGCCAATCCTTTGAGATGTGAACGTTAGCTCTTATATTTAACCAAAGGTTTTGGAAAGAAAAGCTTTATCTTAGCTTTGCTCTGCTATCTTAAAAAATCTTCTAGGGAGCCTGGGTGTCTCAGTTGGTTAGGCGATGTGATCTGGGATCACGTCATGATCCCAGATCCTAGGATCAAGTCCCCCATGGGGCTCCCTGCTTGGTGGGGAGTCTGCTTCTCCCTCTCCTTCTGTCCATCCCCCTGCTTGTGCTCTCTCTCTGTCAAATAAACAAATACAATCTTAAAAAAAACTTCTAATGATTTATGTTCCAAATTGGTGATTTTTTTCCTTCCTATCCTTCCATAGGTCAGTTTGGTCTGTCTTTACCACTTGTTTGTTTCTTCTGATTTCACGGACTTGTAAACAAATTAATCTTGAACTTGTGATGAGGGAATTGCTAGTTCTTCTGTATTTTCACTTTTGGATTTCTTGTTTATGAAGCAGATGACTTTTTTACTTTTTGGAGAAGATGACGGCCAGGGGCCCCAGGGTTCCAGACGTTTAGGAACAGCAGAAGTGGAAGTACTGAGGGTTTGTGGGTGTCTGTGAGGCAGAAGGCCTTGAGAGGGGGCTGGGAAGGAGGGGTACTCGGCAAGCCTGTGGAGCAGGCGTGTGTTGCTGAAGTCACTGGTACAGTTTCACCCTTCTTTTTTTTTTTTTTTAAGATTTTATTTATTTATTTGACAGACAAAGATCACAAGTAGGCAGAGAGGCAGGCAGAGAGAGGGGAGAAGCAGGCTCCCTGCCAAGCAGGGAGCCCCATGTGGGGCTCAATCCCAGGACCCTGAGATCATTACCTGAGCCGAAGGCAGAGGCGTTAACCACTGAGCCACCCAGGTGCCCTCACCCTTCTATTTTAGCTTGACTTGGATGATATGTCACAAGAGTTATTTCTAACAGTAGTAACGGCTGCTATCTCTTGAGAACTTACTATGCACGGGGCACTTAGCCTGCATTCTCACAGTGGACGGCGTGTAGTCCTTACTTTGATGACCTCCATTTTCAGATCAGGGCATTGAAGTATAGAGAGTTTAAATAACATGGCCAAGGCCACACAGCTGTGAAAGGCCAGGCCGGTGTGCAAAGGTAGGCCTGACTCTGGCATCTGGGTGTCAGGGCTTGGGCCCACTCTGCTCTCTCTCCAGAAACTTCTGCCTCTCGCCTTCTCACCCATCCTCCCCGCCCCCTTGCTCTTGCCTCACACCTCCCTACTTTCTCAACGGTCCTGCCTCCAGATCCCTGAATTGTTCCCCTAAAGTATTTACCTTCTTTTATATCTACCTTTTCACCCTGTGTCTAGAGGGCTGCCTCAGGATCCATGACCACATTTAGAGGAGAGCTATTCTCCGCAAAGTTTGTGAGCAAATTTTGGAGTGCCTCCTTGTGGTGCTTGTTGTCTAAAACTATGCTCTGGACCCTACAAAGACACCTCAAACACAAATACACAGGTATCCTCCCCCCAAGCAAACAGAAGCCTACACACGCACATAAACTCACACAAACACACAGACACACACAGACATGCATATAACTGCCTCACAAACACATACATAACCTCCGCATGCATTAACCCACATGTATATTCACACAGATGTTTGTAACTCCCACACACATACACGTGACCACACACACACACACACAGATCACCCGCACAAGCACGTAAGTGCGCACACAGACACACACACACACGTAAACGCATACTCTCAGGCCTCCTTGCTGCCTCAGCTCGGCCAGACCCTGTCTTCCTTGCCTCTCTCTGGAGGCCTGAGCAACGTGAGGCGGGAGGAAGTGAAACCTGCCCTGACAGGAAGTGAAAACAGGATGGTGAGCTTTTCTGGTGCTTGTGACACAGCTGTAGGGGGACTCAGCAAACAGTCTGCAGTTTCTGGAGCTGCTCTGAGGTACCTGGGATCCCTTGGGGTGGGGGTCTAGCTCATGAGGTTACGGTAGGGAGTGGGGACGCTGGCACTTGGGCTCTGTTTCCCAGCTGGCTGCCTTCCCTGCCCCTACTGCAAGTGGGCCTGTGCCTTCCAGAGGGGAGGAATGGCATAGCCTGGCCTCACAACAGGCTTTTGAAATGGTTGTGGACCCCAGGACACTGACTCGGAGTCATAGAGGCACATGGTCTATTTCTTTGTTTTTACCCTGGGGACAAACTATAGTGTCTTCGTGCACCCTCTTTTAAAGGTAAAAGACACTTTTCATGAGGAGAGAGATGAAGTAAGTTTAGTGACAAGTGTTCTAGAGATGACTTTTCCTGATGCTCAGTCAGCCTTGGCCAGGACTGGTGTTAGATAAGCTTTTGTCTGTCAGGCCAGGAAAAGTCCTGGAATGCTGGGCCACACAACTGCTTCTGGGGTCTGTGGAGAGGACAGAGTTGGAGGCTGTGGAACTTAGTAGCCTCTGCTACGTGTCAGTAAGGAAAGAGGGACGAGGGGCTGGGGCTGTTGATTGGAGGACGCAGCATGGATGGATGGGACGGTGACATAAATGTCATTCTTCTCTTTTAGCTGTTGGCAAACACCAGTCTGAAGAGAGATTCGAAGACTTCATGAAGTTGCAGGGGTTCTTCTAAAGTCCAACTCTCTGATTAGGATGGTACAGTCCCTGCCATAGCTGTGGTACAAGAGTAAATAGTATCCTGTTCCTTCTGAAAATTCCCTCTTGGTGTCTGGTGTAGCTTAGAGTAAGTGAATAGCCCTGGAAAGAATCTGGGATATATTGTATTTGAATGATTAGCAAGCTTTTCACCTTCGTCATATCCCTGCAGCTCTATTTACTTAATATCTTTCTATTTAAAAAAAAGATTTTATTTATTTATTTGAGAGAAGGAGTGAGCCAGAGAGAGAGAGAGAGAGAGAGCACAGCAGGGGGAGTAGGAGAGGGAGAAGCAGACTTGTCATTTAGGAGCATATATATATATATATATATATATATATATATATATATATATATATACCTATATCATATATTTATATTTTATTAATTATTATAGATATTAATTAATATATTATTTATATATTATATTTTATATGTTAATTGTTTAAGTAATCTTTATACCCAACATGGGGCTTAAACTCACAACCCTGAGATCAAGAGTCACACACTCCTCTGACTCATGCAGGCACTCCATAATTTTTTTTTTTTAAGATTTTATTTATTTAGGGGTGCCTGGGTGGCTCAGTGGGTTAGGGCCTCTGCCTTCGGCTCAGCTCATGATCCCAGGGTCCTGGAATCTAGCCCTGCATTGGGCTCTCTGCTCAGCAGGGAGCCTGCTTCCTCCTATCTCTTTGCCTGCCTCTCTGCCTACTTGTGATCTCTGTCTGTCAAATAGATGAATAAAATCTTAAAAAAAAAAAAAAAAGAAAAGATTTTATTTATTTATTTGACAGACAGAGATCCTAAGTAGGCAGAGAGGCAGGCAGAGGGGTGGAAGCATGCTCCCTGCTGAGCAGAGAGCCTGATGCTGCGGGGTGCAGGACCCTGGGATCATGACCTGAGCTGAAGGCAGAGGCTTAACCCACTGAGCCACCCAGGTGGCCTGGCACCCCATAATTCTTAAATGTAATTCACATAAATGACCCAGGTGGAGTGCCTGGCATGTGGAGACCCAATACAAGCAAGTTTCTTTCCTTCTCCCCTTAAATCCTTGCTCACTGCCAACCTGGACTAGCTACTCTCTAGAAGCTTTTTAGCAGCTTTTAGTGCTACCGTTCTGAAATATCACGACGACCTATCTTGGTGTGGCTATGGAGCAATTGCTTCTGCTTTGCTAGGAGCTCAACAACAAACCAGCTCATTAAACCAGAGTTAGGTCTTCTGTTCTGGCCCAATTTCTTCTACTACTTATTTACTTTTTTCTCTTATTTCTTCTTTTTCTCTTCTGATATGTCTGTTCTTTGGGGTTGGGTTTCCTGAGTTAAAATCACCTCATTTGTTTCTTTCTTATTTTGTCCTAATTTTAAAAAGATCGTCTTCAATTCCATCTTATAATATTGCTAGGAAATTTTTAAAATTTCAGCTTTTGTATTTTTAAAAATATTTATTCACTTATTTATTTGAGAGAGAGAGAGTAAGAAAACATGGGGGGAGGAGCAGAGGGAGAGAATCTTTTTTTTTTTTATGATTTAAAAAATTTTTTTGTCAGAGAGACAGTACAACAGCACAAGCAGGGGAGTAACAAGCAGAGAGAGAAGCAGGCTGCCCCCTGAGCGAGGAGTCTGATATAGGGTTTGATCCCAGACCCTGAAATCATAACCTGAGCTGAAGGCAGACGCTCAAATGACTGAGCCACCCAGGTGTCCCAGGAGAGAGAATCTTAAGCAGATTCCTTACTGAGCATGGAGCCTGATGTAGGGTTCATTCTCACAACCCTGAGACCACCACTGAGCTGAAAACAAGAGTCAGACACTTAACCAACTGTGCCACCCAGGAGCCCCTCAGCCTTTGTATTTTTAATTTCTAAAAGCTCTTTCTCATTCTGTTTATTTTTTAATTTAATTTTCTTCTTCTTCTTTTTTTTTTAGAGAGGGAGAGCACAGACAGGGGGAGCAGCAGAGGGAGAGGGAGAAGCAGACTCCCTGCTGAGCAGGGAACCAGACAGGGGGCTGGATCCCCGGATGCTGGGATCATGACTTGAGCTGAAGGCAGATTGCTCAACCAACTGAGCCACCCAGGTGCCCCTAATTTTTTTCAAATTTTTAAGTAATCTCTATGCCCACTGTGGGGCTTGAACTCACAACCCCGAGATCAAGAGTTACATGCCCTACGGACTGAGCCAGCCAGCCATTATATAAAAGAAATTAGATTTTTTATAATTCCCAGTAGTTGTTTTATGGGCACAGTATCTTTTCATATCCTTCTTAGGCTATTAAGTATGGTTCTTTTGAATTTTTCTTTTATTTCCTGCATTGTCTCTGTTTCCCTTTGTGTTTTTTTTTTGTTTGTTTGGTTTTTTTTTTGAAGTTCCTTTATGATGCTGGAGGCATTCTTTGTATGCCTTGTGAGCTCTTGCTCTCTGATGATATTTAAAAGTGAAACACTAAAAATCTGATTGCAGTATACTCCTCTATGTGTGAACATGTCTCACTAACTGAAACGTTCCACTTTGTTCAAGGAGGGCTCATGGTGACTTACGATTTGGGAAACCCCTTCAGGTCTGTACCTGGAGGTCTTTTCTCTGTGGGCTTAGAGAAATATGTTGCCTTCTGGTTACCTGAGAACAGAGTGGGAGAAGGAAAATCAGAGTTTGAAACTTAAATCTGTCGATTTGCACTGATCTACTCCCTTTTTAGCCCCGTTGGGTTTCCATCTGAGCAATTTCCTCTTCCAGGCATCCCAATGTCCATGGGTGGCCCATTAGGGTGGCCAGCCCTGCTCTCCCTGCTTTTGGTGGTGGCGATACCTTTTTTCTGCTCAGCCATATCCATAGATGAAGCACGAACCCAGCTGTTGATGAGAGAGAAGATGCTGCAGCTGGGGGGGCAGCTGGTGCTGACCGAGCAGGAGGAGCTGGCCAATGAGAGGCTCATGGCTCTCAAAAAGGCTGAGGTGGTGCAGGCCATGAAGATCCAGAATTTCCCTCCCAGCATGCACTTCTTCCAGGCCAAGAATCTCATCGAGAAAAGTCAGGTGTTTAGTATCCTGAAGAAGATGCCAAAAGGTAGAGGTTTGGAGGGGATGGTTTGCACATGCTGGGCAGGGAGGGGGAACTAAACTTGGAGCTAGCATTGTTATTGGAGCTGTTGTTGTTGTAAATGGAGCAGGGAGGAGCACATGGCCGGCTCAGCCCGTAGAGCATGGGACTCTTGATCTCAGGATTGTGAGTTCAAGACCCACACTGGGTGTGGAGCCTACTTTAAAAAATAATGATAAATAAGATTAAAAAAATAAATAAATGGAGCAGTGAGAACCCCACTCAGCTACTCTGCACCTTTGTTCTTCCTTGGCAAACATCGAAGGTGGCTGCTGGTTTACCAAAAGCCCAGCTTCAGAGGGGACTCTGCCTCAGAGAGACAGTGGGGAGTGGGAGCTGGGCTTTACTGTCTTTCCTGACAAAGCAGATGCCTCCACCCACAAGGCAGTGTCTGGGCCATAAGACCTACTGCTCCGTTCACGTCTTTTATCTGCCTCTTCCGCCCTTTCTCAGAGGCTAAGGTAACAAACAGGGTATGGTATGAACGAGCATCTTGGATAAATGCATTTCTAGTATGGTATGTCTAGAGCATATTTACATTAACTTTTTTAAGATTTTATTTAGTTGAGGGTGCCTGGGTGGCTTAGATGGTTAAGCTTCTGCCTTTGGCTCAGGTCATGATCCTGGGGTCCTAGGATCGAGTCCCACATTAGGCTCTCTGCTCAGTGGGGAGCCTGCTTCTCCCTCTGCCTCTCTGTCTCTGTCTCTCATGAATAAATAAATAGAGTCTTTATTAAAGAAAAAGATTTTATTTAGTTGAGAGAAAGAGAGTATGTGTGCAGGAGAGACAGTGTGTGCGTGAGAGAACACAAGCAGCAGAGAGGGAGAAGCAGGCTGCACATCAAGCAGGGAATACGATGCGGGGTTGGATCACTTCACCTCTTTTGCTTCACCCCACCCTGCCCTTCTTCCCTTCCAGGGGCTGCCTTACATGTCCATGACTTCGGCATCCTGAGCATGAACTGGCTGGTGAAAAATGTCACCTATAGGCCCCACTGCCATTTCTGTATCACCCCGAAGGGGGCCCTGTCATTCAAATTTGCTTATCCAACACCCCCTACCCCTATGCCAGCAGAGTGTTCAGAGTGGGTTTTGCTGGAGAAGTATCGAAAGGAGATGCAGAACGTCACTGAGTTTGACAACGGGTGAGTTCCAAAAGAATGTGTCACGGGGCCTTAAGACGTAGTGGGTGGTGTGTGGGTGTGTCTTCCTTGGTACAAACCATATATGCAAATCGGGCCTTAAAAAAAAATCAGGAGGCTCTTAATTTTATAAGATACTTTGCTTCACAAAAGCATTCAAATAGCAAGTTCCTGGTTCATTTAAAATCTCATTTGAGGGGCACCTGGGTGGCTCAGTTGGTTAAAGCCTCTGCCTTCCACTCAGGTCATGATCTCAGTGTCCTGGGATTGAGCCCCACATTGGGCTCTCTGCTCAGCGGACAGCCTGCTTCCTCCTCACTCTTTGCCTGCCTCTCTACCTACTTGTAATCTCTGTCTGTCGAATAAATAAATAAAATCTTAAAAAAAAAATCTTATTTGACCTGTAAGAGGTATTAACAGTAACACTATTGTTGCATCAGATGGATTTTGCCTAGAAGCTTAATACCAGAAGGATGAAAAACTCCCAGCTCCTGGAATAATGACAGTGCATTGGTGGGTGAAACAGCTTGAAAATGTTTTGTAGCAACTTCCCAACACACTTGTAAAGTGATATTATAAGTAATAGCTGTTTTCAGCATAGAATCATCTATGCTGTGCTTTTATGAGCTTACTTCCCTTTACGAATAAGAAATGTGAAGCTCAAGGTTAAGGCCACACTGCTTAGTACATGGCTACTCAGGGGCAAAGCCTGGGTTGTGTAGTCCCCATATTTACATCCTAATACATCCTGTATTAGCTTGCCAGGGCTGCCATAACAGAATACTACAGACCAGGTGCCTTAAACAACAGAAATTTCTTTTCTTTTTCTTTTTGTAAAATATTTTATTTATTTATTTATTTTTAAAGATTTTATTTATTTATTTGACAGAGATCACAGTAGGCAGAGAGAGAGGAAGGGAAGCAGGCTCCCTGCTGAGCTGAGAGCCCCATGCGGGGCGATCCCAGGACCCTGGGATCACGATCTGAGCCGAAGGCAGAGGCTTTAACCCACTGAGCCACCCAGGTGCCGCTATTTATTTATTTGACAGAGATCACAAGTAGGCAGAGAGGCAGATGGGGGCCGGGGGGGTTGGGGCAGAAGCAGGCTACCTGCTGAGCAGAAAGCCCAATGTAGGGCTCGAATGCAGGACCCCAAGATCATGACCTGAGCTGAAGGCAGAGGCTTAACCCACTGAGCCACCCAGATGCCCCCCAAAATTTATTTTCTCACTGGTCTGGACGCTAGACGTTCAAGATCGAGATCCTGGCAGGTTTGATCTCTCCTGAGGCCTCTGTCCTTGGCTTGCAGACAGCGTGTCCTCACAGGGCCTTTCCCCTGTATGTGTGATGCCTGTCACTGGTGTCCTTGATGCCAGTCCTAGTCTATGGGGGCCCTACCCTTATGACCTCATTTAACCTTCACACCACTGAAAAGGCCCTATCTCCAAATATAGTTACATTGAGGGTTAGGATCTCAACATACGGATTTTAGGGTGTATAATTCCATGCATAACACCCTGTCCCCCAAAGAGAGGTTGGTCTAGGATGTAAGTACAGTGGGGTCAGACTGGCTAAGCATGCAGAAGGGAGCAGGAGAGCCTGGTTAGTGGGAACATCCCACCTGAGCTGGGTCCTGAGGAGCACAAAGTGGGTCTCAGGGAGGGGCTCCATGAGAGAACCCAGGGTGCTTCCCGTGGCCTCTCATCACTGTTCACTATGATGCATCTGGCTTTGCTTCTGGTGGGAGAAGCAAGGTGGGCAAGAATCCTGCAGGTGCTTGAAGGTGATGGCTTGAAACACGCCTCCTCAATTTACCGGCTTTGTGTCTTGGACAGACTGCTAAGGAATTTCACGCTGATGACCGAGAACCCAGAGGTGGATTATGCAAACCAAAATATCGTCTGGTCCAAGTTTCAAAGCATCTTCTTCACGATCTCTGGCCTTGTCCACTATGCACCAGTGTTCAGAGACTATATCTTCCAGGCTCTGGAGGAGTTCTACCAGGACAATGTGCTCTACCTGGAGCTCAGAGCCATGCTGCTCCCGGTGAGCCCAACTCTTTGCTCTGCTCTGGCTTGACTATCAAAATTTAGCTTCCCAGAGTCGCTCAAGACTACATTCTTGGTCCTGGGACAGCTGATGGGTCTGGCAAATGGATAACCCTGGTAGCACTGGGGAGAACAGATCACAGTGAGAGGGTTGCCGGCTGAGAGAGATGGGGACAGAGACTGGGAGAGTAGGGAAACAGCAGGTATGAGATAACAAGGCTGGGGGAACAGGAGCAATGAGGAGGACTCTAGAGGTCTTCCTGACTGACCATGTGGGGGTGAGGCTGTATAGCCACTTGCTGGTGTTGAACTTGAGTTGAGTTGACTGGTGGTGACATTGATGGAGATAGGGGAAGTAAGAGGACAAGCAGGATGGGGAGGGAGAATAGAAATTTTGGTTTTGAACCTGTAGAATTGGAGGGGTCTATGAGATAGCCCTGTGAAGATGTCTGGGAAATGGTGGAATATATGACTGTGGAGCCCAGAGGAGAGTTCTAGCCTGGAAACAGATGTTTGACATTTGTCTGCAGAAAGGTAATTCTTCAAACTGTCAGAGGGTGAGTTTCCCACAGAAGCTGTGAGTTGAAAAGAGGAGTGGGTCAAGAAAGGGGCCCAACAAACAAAAATAGGATGGAAAGTTCATGAAGTGGGCTGAGAAGGAGCCATTGTAGAAGGAGAGAACGAGGATGGTCTCCACGTTAGGGGACACATCGTTGAGGAGAGCAGCCCCAGGTGATCAGATGCTCCTGGACCATTCTTTTGGGATGTCTGTTGGACAGAACTTCCCTGAAGACTATTTGTAGGAGGGATTTGGGTATTGTGGGAGTGGGCAGGATTTCTGAATGTTCCATTTGGTGTGCTCACCAAGAGTTTGAGCTGGTTAAATATTTTAAGTGGCTTGGGGAATGTGACCTTTGTGTAGCGCTCTCCCCTATATCATATCCTAACTAGTCTGCTTATTCTTTGAAGTATTTGTTGAGCATACTAACGCCTTGGTGACTAACCTTCAAGTTTGTGGAAAGATCCACAGGGTGGCATTATTTTGGCTTTGTTACCGTATTCCATGGTCTTTATAGGCTCGGAAATGTTATTGTTTGTACACTCAGAAGTGACAGAGCTCCAGAGGACCAAAACACATTGACCAAATTCATAAGAGACAGAAGAATAAACAAGAAAGTCAGAGTGCTGGTTTTCAGAGAAAACTATCAATTAGATTAGACTCGCTTCTTCTTCTTCTTTTTTTTTTAAGATTTTATTTATTTGTTTGTCAGAGAGAGAGAGAAAGAGAGAGAGAGATCACAAGTAGGCCGAGAGGCAGGCAGGGGCAGAGGGAGAAGCAGGTTCCCTGCCGAGCAAGGAGCCCCATATGGGACTCGATCCCAGGACGCTGGGATTATGACCTGAGCCAAAAGCAGCCGCTTAACCAACTGAGCCACCCAGGCATCCCTAGACTTGCTTCTTGACCAGCAAGTTCTCTCTCCTTGAGGGCAATTCTTAGCCTTTCCTGAAGCCAAGGTATAGCCAGAAGGATGTTGGTGAGCCGAGTGGGGAGCCCTATTGTCCCTGGGCTCTGAGAATTTAAGGGAGTCCATAATAGCATACTTAATCTTTGGAAAATCTGATGAAAATTATCACACTTTTGCCAGGAGCGGGGAGAAAGTGCTACAATAAGTTGACTTTATTTATATAGTGTTTCCACATGTTTCTGTATGTATCTATAAAACATTTTAGGAAACAATGCAATGTACAGAGATTCTGGTATTTTTGCATTCTAAAAAATTTTTAATTCTTGTTGGGACTCCTAAATTGATTTTACTCCCCCAGTTTGATCTAAAGTGTTCAAGGATCCTCTAATGAAGTATATGCCTGTCCCAAGAACCAGTAATTCCAGTTTGTGGGTCCAGGCTCCCTTTCCCTTCATCAGTGACTAAGGTTCCTCAAGGCTCAACTCTCAGGATGGACCCACCCTTCCCCTTAGACATGTTAATACACTCCTTGAGCTTAGCTCAAGGCCAGCCTGTGAGGGCTGGGAAGAGTTGGCACTTAGCTAAGTGCCTATCGCCCTTGGGATCTGACTGCGTGTTTGGTAGTGAAAGCTCTGAGGACAGTTTTTGGGAAGTGGGAGTGGGGCTGACCTTTGTCCCTCAGTAGAGCTTTCCCAGTTTTGTGAGCCAAGTAGATTAAGACCTGGAGACAAAGGATCCTTTTGCAGGAAGCCAGGGTCCATCCATCTATAAAGAGAAGAATTTCTAAAAGAGATGAGCTGGCATTGGGCCTGGACTGTGTGGAGTAGAAGAAATTGCACCTGCCGAACAATTTATTGCTAGGTTTGGGCCTGGAAAATCCTTTTCTCTCCAAGCATCCGCTCCACCCCCATCTAAGCCGTCCTCTCCTCTGGGTTCCACTGAAACTGGTTAAGTCTGCCAACCCCTCCTTCACCACCGCCCCGACCCGGGACTGTGGCAGCCCACATCTCCCTCTTCGTCCCCTGGAAATGTGGATTTCCGGCACCCAGCATCTGTTGCCCCGTTATTTATGTCGGACTGTGAGATATTTCAGACTGGCACCATATCTTAGGTTGCCGAGAGGCACCAGTAGTGATAATGATGCTTGCTGATGATGGTCCTCAAACTTGGCTGTTCAGATGAATCATCTGGAGGTGCTCTTTAAAATTCACCTTTGGGCCCCAGCCTGCCAGGATTCTAATTCCGTGCTCTTGAGTAGGGCAGGGAAGCCGCAAAATAACTAGCGCTTCCCCTCCTCCCGATGATTCTAATGCAGATGGTCTGACCCAGACCACACTTGGAGCAAAGGCCGTCTTCGCCTTGACCTTTACAAAGCACTTGAGCTGCAGAGCGAGCTTGCGTTTTATGGACGTGGAAACTGAGGCTCGGGAAGGTCAGAGAGCTCGGCCAAGATCGTGTTGGTGGTAAGGAGTGACTGGACAGAGGCCAGGGCGCTGGACTTTGTGAACATTGAGGGACCCATGCTCCAGCTCAAAAGGAGCTGCTGGAGAGGGTATGCGGCTTCCAGTCTCGCCCTTCCGCAGGGGATAGAGAGCCCCTGGGATTGGCTGAGCGGAGGCTTCACCCAGAGCGGTGCTGGCCCCTGCTGGGGGGACCACTTCCTGTTGCGCAATCCTGGAGGCTTTCTCGGTGTGGAGCATGGGGGAGGTAGCCCTTCGATCCTGTCAGAGCCCTGGGCGCCTTTGGGGGCGGAGGGCAGAGGAGGGAGGGGGAAATTGCAGAGGCTTTGGGTCTTGGTCGCTTTGAGGGCTGTGACTTTCATCTTGAGCTCGGTGGGGAAGCATTTAGGGGAAGATGCTGAGAAACTGGAGGGAAGGCAATAGTTTCCTGTCTCATCCCTCCCCTTTTTCGGCTGGGCTGTTTTCTCCTGACCCCGCGGAGGAGTGGGCTCTGGGGGCATTTCACGTGGGGACCCTGGCTAGCCCCTAACCTCTCCTCCCTCTCTGCCCACCCCCCACCATCCTAGAAGGTGGAAGGCTGCTGGGATTTGGGATTCTGGAGAGGCTGAGGGGGATGGGATTTGACCATTTGTTCTGCTCTGACCCTGGAACAAAGGCCTCTTGCAATAGAGTCTCTGCCTTAATGCCCCCCATTAGCCAGAGTAGGGGGAGTCGTCAGCACATTAACAACTAAAAACCGTCTGCACGGGAATCCTTTTGCTGAGCCGCACAACCTCCCCCTTCTAGTTTGTGGGGCTAATTCAGGGCCTGGGATGATGTTGATGGACTATCCTGGCTGCTCAGCCTCCTATTGTGTTACTAATGCTTGATAACAAAGGCTACTTGCCTCTAGCAACAGTTGCTAGGCGGGTCTTATCTCCTGGGCTCCAGTCCCTTCCCCCACTGCCAGAATCGGAGGCCCAAACTGGGCCCCGGCCAGGCTTCAGAGTGGAGCTGGTGTGAGACCCCAGAGGATTATCAACAGGAGATCGCCCTGCTGGCACTTCCTGACAGGAGGTCTTAGGAGAGAGACGCGTCAGGGGCCTAGAGAACCCACGATGGTCGTCCCCAGACGTTTTCTTGGATGCTGTCCCTTGTACTACCAACATTACTCAGGCGGGCTTTGCCTACCCACTCCCGCCCCCACTCCGGGGTTTTTCCTGGATTCTTAGCAGATCCTCCATTGAAAATTTCCACCTGGCTTGTTGCTGAAGTGACATTACTGGTGCGACTCTGTGAGAATACTGACAAGCGAGTTTGGGGGGACCACCTTCACTGCTACCCTTGATGATAGCACTTACCCTACTATGCTGTAATCAAGCATTTTCTTCTCTGTCAAGTCCACGAACACCGTAGATCTTAACCCTAGCTGTACATTGTACATTAGAATCACCTGGGGAGGTTAAAATAAAAATAACCAGCTTCGACCTCAGAGATTCTGATTTAATTAGTCCGGGGTGAAACCCAGGCATCTCCCTCCCCCAGGTTCTAATGTGTCCCAGAGCTGAGACACCGAGACCCCTACCTGCCATTGGAGTATAAAGGTAAAGCGAGTACTACCTGATAGTGTGGTTTTGAAGATTAAAGGAGATGATGATATAAGGCTGTTGGCATTACCCGGCACATAATAGAAGCTCAGTTAATGCAGGTGAAATGCATGGTGCTCCAGTTGTGTTGAGAGTTAGAAATTCTGAGTCCTGGCTTCTGGTCTGATACAAACTAATTGTGTGACCTTGAGTAACTGTCCAATCTCACATTTCCCTTCGGTTCCTTCCAGCTTCAAAATTCTATAATTCCATGATATCACAGACAATAAAATTTTGTAATCTTATATTGGCTTGTATAAATAGCCAACTTTATAGTTTCACAATTAAATTATAATGAACATGGGGTGCGTGGGTGGCTCAGTTGGTTAAGCAACTAACTTCGGCCTAGGTCATGATCCCAGAGTTCTGGGATTGAGCCTCCTGTCGGGCTCCCTGCTTATTGGGAAGCCTGCTTCTCCTTCTCCCTCTGCCACTTCCCCTGCTTATGCTCTCCTGCTCTCTCTCTGTCAAATAAATACATAAAATCTTTAAAAAATGAACTATAATGAAAATGGAGATAATAATCTACATTGAATCCAGTGTTTTCAACTCAAGGGGGCTTATTACATGGATATAGCAGCTTTGTATCACATGGTCTTAGGTCAATGACTCACACCACCTACTTGTACTTACTAATTGTTAAATCCTTAGATATCAATTCATCTTCCTAGGATAACTGCAGATTTTTGAGTTGTTTTTCTGTATCTGGTGATAATAAGATTGGTAATAGTAACAACATTATTATTAATAATTATCTTTTTTGAAAATGTTTTCATTTATCTTTTGAAGTCATCTCTACACCCAGTGGGGGGCTCGAAGAGTCATGTGCTCTTCCGGCTGAGCCAGCCAGACGCCCTCATAGTTATCGTTTCTGAGTGTTCTACAAATATTAACTCATTTGATTCTTGCAGCGACCCTGGGAGGTATGATTTACTGGGGCAAAACATACCTCCACTGGGAGCCCCAACCCAGAAGGCTGCCCAGAGCCCCCTAACCAGGTGGGAACTTTCCTTGAGTGCCTGGCTTCACAGCCGTGTTCTAACCATTCTAATGGGTAGTAGAGTGGCTGTGAGGCTGTGAGGAGTTGCAGGTCTCCCTATGAAAAGGGTCTCTTGCTCCATGAAATGGGGTTGCTCGTGAGCATTCAGATCTTGCCCTGGGTGCTTCTGTAAAGCCCACAGTTTCTCAGCCAGAGGCCCAGGAGCACAAGGCCCTGGGCAGCCCCAGTGGTGATTTACTGAGTGAGACACCAAGAGACGAGGGCTCGGCATCTGTAGCCCCAGGGGCCAGATTCCATCTTCGAGTCTCTCCATGCTATGGGAACTGGCAGTGGGATTGGAACCCTGCAAGGCAGGAGGCCCAGATTCTCCAGCAGCAAGTGCTGGAATGACAGAATTGATGGCTTGAAACTGTGGCCATATGCAAACTCCCATCATGCCTCTGGTGTGTCATTTGCATATCTGTACCTACTTGTTTCATATGTCAAGGATCTTCTTTTAGGCAGAATTGTCCTTTGTTTTTTCTTTTCTTTTTTTTTTTTTTAAGGTTCTTTTGTTTCCCTTCTGTTCTGCGAGCACGACTCTGCCAACTCTAGACTCTACTGGCCACCCCTCCAATCTCCAACTATTCATCCCTTCTCTAAAACGTGCTGCCTGGGGTTTAGTACTTTTGGAACTCCAAGCAGAGAGTGCTTTTCCTAAGTTAATGCTTATTTGTGGAGCTCCTGCTCTGGTGCTGTGGGAGGGGAGGTGGAAAGATCCAAAGGACTTGGACCTGGATCCTCCCTGTCAGCGGTTTAGAATCCCTTGGGTGTGTCTGGGCAGGTGACTCAGTAATGACACAGCAGTCAAGGCATGGGGAAGAATTCTGTTCTGCCCTTCTGCAAATCACCTGGAGAATGCCAAGACAACTTTGAGTATCAATTCTGGGTTTCTTTAATGCATTGTTCTCAAAATTTGACGCTCAAAAATTTTGGAGGATCCCAAAGAACTTTTGTTTATATGGATTATATCTACTCTTTGCTGTATAATCCAGCCTGTGTTAAAAATTAAAACTGAGAAAATTTCAAAACACAAGACTGCACAAGCACATAACCCATTATTTGTCAGAGAAATATTGTCATGTATGATACAACTTCCAGAAAATTCTACGCACTCATGAGAGAATGAGAATGAAAAAGACAAATAATATCTTGAAACTTCTATGAAAAGAGTTTTTGATTTTGCAGATTGCCTAGAAAAGTCTACGGGACCCACAGGGGTTCCCTTACTACACTTTGAGTACTGCTGGGCTACAGGATATAGGTTCTTTCAGCATCAAAGATCTGAAGATTCTAATAGAGCACCTGGAAGTCTGTTGGAGCTTTTTTTCCCTTTTTTTTTTTTAAAGATATTATTTATTTGACAGAGAGATCACAAGTAGGCAGAGAAAGAAGGGAAAGCAGACTCCCTGCTGAGAAGAGAGCCCACCCAATGTGGGGCTTGATCCTAGAACCCTGAGATCATGACCTGAGCCAAAGGCAGAGGCTTAACTCACTGAACCATCCAGGTGCCCCATGTTGAAGCTTTGATCAGTGGCAGGAAGAGTTCTCTTTTAAAAAATCCTTGGTAAGGGGCGCCTGGGTAGCTTAGTCGTTAGGCCTTCCGCTCCGGTCATGGTCCCGGAGTCCTGGGATCTAGCCCTGCATTGGGCTCCCTGCTCAACTAGAAGCCTGCTTCTCTCTCTTCCACTCCCCCTGCTTGTGTTCCCTCTCTCGCTGTGTCTCTGTCAAATAAATTAATAAAATCTTTAAAAAATAATAATAAAAAACTTGAGGAGAGGATGAAAGTAACTTTCCTTTACCCTCCTAAAGTTCTTTTTTGGGGGCTTGCAAATTAAACTGACAAAAGCCACATTAACAGGAGAAAAGTCATACACATTGTATTTGATGTTAATGTTTAATTTTTGTGTGCATGGAGGTCTTGTAGAAAAAAGTGAGACCCAAAGAAGTGGGTAGAACAGGTGCTTATACATGATTTTAACCAGTGGTGATAAATTGTGGAGAAATGATAATACAAAGGAAAAGGTGTTTGGGTTTCTGGGGCAGTAAATTGTGGTGAGGGAAATATATGGGGGACACTCATAGAAGATAAGGGTTATAATAGTAAGGTTTGCTTATGCAGACTCCTCTAGGTACTGACCTTCTGTCTCCAGTGATAAGCCTTGTTCTTCTGGTATGGGAGATAGTAGGGGGAGCACCTTCACCAATAGTTTATGTCCTGCCTGTAGGCAGATAGGAGGAGGGCAAAGAGCTCTGTGTTTGCTGCTTAATTGCTTTCCACTCAAAGTAATCCTTATGCAAAAGGAGCGTATTTTAGGGTGGCATACTCTGATCTCCTTGGTAAAAATATTAATAGTAGTAACAGGCTATACTAGATACTGAGTTAGCAGTTTCTAAGATTCTGTCCTCTGGAAAGTTCTGGCAGCTCTAACCTTCAGTAAGCCTGAGAATGTCCACTCCAAGGCCAAGCAGTCAGGGAAGGGCCACCTGCCAATACCAAGCCCAGCTGGCTGAGGCAGCCTTGCGGGGGATTGCGTGAGAGGCCAGGCTTCACTGGGGCAACAGCAGAGGAAACCAAAGAGCCAAGGCCAATGGGGCCAAGAGGAGGGGCTAGAAAGAGTTGCCCATCCACCCCACTTCCCCCAAGCTGGGCTGCAAAACAGGACCCCCAGAGGTGAAAAAGAGCCAAGAGGCTGCTCTGTGGGCCTGGGGAGAAGAGGGTGCTGGGGAGGCTGCCCCAGGACAGAAGGCAACACCTCGGGGTACAGGTAGGAGGAAAAAGGAGGCCCCATGGGCCGGTGAGAGTGAGCAAGTGACTGGCTGGGCAATGAGAAGAGCTTCCTGGACACGACCAGCTCCAGGATATCAGACCCCAGGGAGGAAAAAGGACTTCTCTCCTGCAGGCAGTGGGAGAGCTCATGACTTCCATTCTGTCTCTCTGCCCGTTAGCCTCTGCTCCCTGACCCTGCAGGTCTGGCTCCCTTAGGGCCACTGCTTCGCACACAGGCCTAGCAATGCTTCAGTGCCATCTCCCCCAGAAAGCGTCTCTGACCCTACCCAGTTCAAAGGAAGCCCCTTTCCTTCTGAGGTCCTGTAACCTCTATTTAGCACTTAATTCTTCCTGCTTTATATCATAAATGTGAACAGAGCTTGTCTCCACTAAATCGGGAACTCCTTAAGGGCAGGCATCTTGTCTTACTACCCCTCCAGGACCTAGCCTGGTTCCTTGCCCATGGCAGGTTTTTAACTGATGTTCATGGAAATGACTTTTGCATATTACTTCTTCCCATCTTCCCTCTCTCCACAATCTCTTGGGAAAAAACTCCCACATCCTGACCCTGAACTGCCATTCTTTGCAGGGGTGAGAGCTGACCCAGTGGCAGGGGAGGGCAGAGGGAGCTGCAGGGGACATGTCCACGCCAATGCGCTCTGGCCTCTCTCAGTGGGTTTCGTGTGGCCCAATGAGAGGACTTGGCCCAATGAGCCCCCAAAGAGGGGACTTCTTTCCACCCATTCCTTCCCCTTTGCCTTACCCATGGTCCATTGCTGGCTCTTCTCACTCTGCCCCTAACCATGTCCACCTCGGGATATCTCACATAGGGATGGGAAAGTGGGGAGATGAAGTGGGTCCTGTCCCCCGCTGACCTGTTATTCATTCATTACACACATGCCTCCCGAGCACCAGGCACTGTTCAGGGTGCAAGGACCCAGCAATGAATGAGACAGGCAGACAGCCTACTTTGTGGTGTTCAAGAGCATTATCCCAGATAGGACTAGGACTTCTGAGAAATGTCAGAGGCTGGTGAAGGCACTAGGCAAGGAAATTGCAAAGTCCAATGTGGTTTTAGAGATTATTGGCAATGGGAATGAAGTTTCGCTCACCTCTGATGTCTGATCATGACCATGCTTCCTTCCTAGGTATATGAACTGAATGGGACCATCCATAACCAGGAGTGGTCAGTGAGGACTTACAGAGAAGTGGCTTATATGTTTGCGAAAAAGCATCCTGGATTTATTGGAATCAAACTCATTTATTCAGATCGCAGGTGAGAGAGGACATGGGTGAAGTGCGGGGTTTGGGAGAATGGGATGCAGACAGAGCCACTAGGAAGGGAGGGGAAGAGAGAGGAAAAAAGAGGGAGGCTGGCATCAGAGACCTACACCCTGTGCCAAAGAGCCATGGACTCAGTGGGTACATTCATGCATGGATGCAAACCTCTACCTCTAAAGTCATTTCTAGTTCGAATCTTTGCCACTGAGCTTAAATGAAGAACTATGGCAATTTTCCATATTAATTCTAGGCCCCATGTTGGCCTGGGATATGTTTTGGCCTATATGTTTAGATAACTGGCTCATTTCCTTGTTTCAGTTTGCCTCTGGGGTTCTGCTTAATGTCATCCATGGGGGATGGCTGTGTGCAAGGCCTTGACTGGTGACCCAGCCCTGAGGGACCGCTATCTCAGAGTCTGTGTGTAGACACCCCACAGGAGCATGTATGTGGGACCTGGTAGCATGAACAAGGACCCACTTTTCCCCCAAGCAAGCACAGAAAGCTTTAAAACTGAATTTTCCTATTGATTATACTGAAGGACAGCTCTTTCTTCCTGTCAGAGGGCCACCAGTCTAAGGCCTGTGACTGTGCACCGGGCTGGAGATGCAGGGTTCTCAAATGCAGATCACATGGAATCAGGACTTGGGGAGGGGCAGCATCTCCATTTGCTCAGCCTACCCTAGAGGCTGGGCTCTGGGGGGCAGTCAGACTCCTCCCCACTCCATTCCCACTGAATCCCCTTCCCTCTTTGTGAGGGCTGGGAGTGGGGGCATGCATGAGCGGGAGCTAGTCATCTGGGATGGAGCTGGCAGGCTGGAGCCCCACTGCTTCCCCTCAGAGGCAACCTGGGAGCCAATGGCAGGAGGGTGTGAGGGCTGGGCTGCAGCTGATCAATCCTCTGTGTTCCCTTAGAGCTCTGCAGGAGAGGGAGTGAGCAATGTGGGGAAGGGGGCAGGAGAAATTTAGGCCCACAGAAATTTTGTCACTGAGGGACAAGTGAGCCAGCTGCTGTGCAGAGACCTTTGTCCTGTCACAGAGATGTACCAGACTTTTCCCTTCAGTGCTTCTGTTGTCTTGTTGTTTGCCTCATCCTTTTCCTGGACTGGAACAAAGAGGGTGCAGAGAGAAGACAGAAGTTCGGTCATAGGGTTTCTGGAGTGCCCAGGGCCTTGCTGAATTAACTGGGGGCAAAGGACCTATTGTTGCCAGGTCCTGCTGACCTGACAGGGACTTGGTTCATCTGTTGCATTTCCTAGGTGCCCAGTGGACAGAGAGCCAGGCTCTGTACTGCACCCACTTCCAGGAGCCATCCTCTCAGGGATGCAGGGCAAGTTTTGGACGAGGCCTTTTTGCTTCATCCGAATGTAGATAATGAAGCATATCCCATGGGTCTTGCCTTTCAGACACTGTGGGTCATCCTGGAGCCAGCCAGAGTCCTCGATAGGGTTGGGTTTGGGTGAAGAGGTACCTCTCTCAGAGGTAGCCCCTGGCAGGAGTCACGATGGCCTAGTCAGGAGAGGGTCACATGGGCAATGGGGAACGGTTGCTGAGTACCCTGACCTGGCCCAGGTCCAAGCACTGGCAGAGCCACTCTGGGGTACACAGCAGCACCAATGCCAAGTCATGCTGTTGCCCCTGCTTCTCTCTCTCTCTCTCTCTCGCAGATTCAAAAATGTGTCCTTCATCATGAAATCCATCCAAACGGCTATGATGCTTCGGGCCACATTCCCCAGGATGGTGGCAGGCTTTGACTTGGTAACGGACTGCACAACGAAGCTGTCTGAGAGCAGGGCCCAGCAGGGAGCTCTTCCCTAAGGCCTTGTCATCTCCCACGGAAGCCCTCTGTAGAGGCACAGGCCTGGCCAGAGTTTAGCACTGACTTTCTCTGGGGGCCTGTAGTCACAAGAGAAGGGGGAGCAGAAAGGGCCAGAAGGCTGAAAGGGGGAGTTGCAGAATAAGGAGAATTCAAGGAGGTTGGGCAGTAATGGTGGGTTTACTCCCATTCCCCTGCCCTCCGCCCTCTTTCTAGCCCATGTTGCCCACCCACGGCTGGCTCTTAAAACCATAGCACATGGCGGAGGAGTGTAGGGGGAAGCCTGGAAGCAGAGATGGGGCTAGCCCTGGGCAAAACTGTCCTCTGCCCCTCCACCAAATCAAAGCCATCGCCAGGTTCTGCCAACCAGGGCACACTTCCCAGACGACAACCCATTAAATCTTGTTAGGGAAGGTCAGCTAGTTTGAACGAACTGGCTGAAAGGTGCTCCTGACTCCCTCTTACAGAATCTGTGCATCTTACCTGAGTCTGTGCTTAAGGTCCTGTTTTCAGACCATCCAGAGCTCAGGAGTGGATTTCAAAGACTGATTTTGTTTGGACCCGGGATGCCCTCCTGGGATCCCTGGGGGTTGCTCAAAGAGTCTGGCCTCTCCTGAAAGGGGCAGAAGGCCCTCTCATCTCACCTCTTCCCTCTGCATGCAGCACAGACAACAGAGGCTGGGAAAGAGCACCTCTAGTATAGACCTTCCAGAACAGTCCCTACAAGGGCTGAAATGGACAAGCCCTAGAGGGAAATTAGGGTTGGAAGGGGGCTAGGTAGTTGTTCAAAGGGATCTACTCGTAAGTTCCAACTCTATTGCAAGCCTGCACTCCATTCTACTACATTGATTATCCGTATTTGGCTTATTGTAAAAATGTGTCCTTGTCTGCCCTCCCCACCCCCAACAAATTAAAATCAGCATTCCGAAGGAGATACGCTTGTTATCCTAAGGCGCACTTCCTCTTGGCACATAGCTACAAAGCCCTGGGGGTATGTGTGGTTTAGTTTGAGAAGCATAATTTTGTTGTAGTGACAGCTGAGGCACGGACCAAGCAGATGGCTCCATGTCCCCTCCTCTCTGTCCTGCAGGTGGGGCGTGAGGACACTGGCTATACCTTGTATGACTACAGGAAGGCTTTGATGATACCCACCTTGCAGGGCATTAAACTGCCTTACTTTTTCCATGCTGGAGAGACAGGTGAGCCATCTGAAGACAAGCAGAACAGAGGAGGTGATGGATAGGAGGGCTCCTCCTCATTCAAGAGAACTGATGGAATTCTGGGGCAGTATTGGTATTGTTGGTAGTCCTTTTGTGGCACTTGTCCATTTCATATGTGTTATTTCACTTAATCCTAATGGCAACTCCTGGAGAAGGAATAACAATGATAATAACAGTGTCTTCACATACATTCTTTCTTTCTTTTTTTATTTTTAAAGATTTATTTATTTATTTATTTATTTATTTATTTATTTGACAGAGATCACAAGCAGGCAGAGAGGCAGGCAGAGGGAGAAGGAGGGGAAGCAGGCTCTCTGCTGAGCAGAGCCCCGATGCGGGGCTTGATCCCAGAATCCTGGGATCATGACCTGAACCGAAGGCAGAGGCTTTAACCCACTGAGCCACCCAGGTGCCCCTATTTCTTTTTTCTTTTCTTAAAGATTTTATTTATTTATTTGACAGACCAAGATCACAAGTAGGCAGAGAGGCAGGCACAGAGAGAGGCAAAAGCAGGCTCCCCACTGAGCAGAGAAGCCAACACGGGGCTCGATCCCAGGACCCCAGGATCATGACCTGAGCCGAAGGCAGAGGCTTTAACCACTGAGCTACTTAGGCACCCCTTCTTTTCTTTCTTTCTTTCTTTTTTTTTTTTAAAGATTTTATTTATCTATTTGACAGAGAGAGTATGCAAGTAGGGAGAGCAGCAGGCAGAGGGGCAGGGAGAAGCAGTTCCCCTGAAGAGCAGGAAGCCCAATGCGGGGCTTGATCCCAGGACCCTGAGATCATGAACTGAGCCAAAGGCAGATGCTTAACCTACTGAGCCACCTAGGTGCCCCACATGTATTATTTCTAATTTTCACCCTGGTCCTGCTGGGAAGGTGTTTTTAATCCCTATTTTTATTTTATTTAAAAGATTTATTTATTTGGGTGGGAGAGGCAAAGGGAGAGGGAGAGAGAATCTCAAGCAGACTCCCTGCTGAATGCAGAGCTAGACAGCAGGCTCCATCTCAAGACCCTGGGATCATGACCCTGAGATCATGACCTGAGCTGAAATCAAGAGTAGGGTGCTTATCCAACTGAGCCACCCAGGCACCCTTCCCATTTTATGGGTGAAAAGCCCAAGTCTCCAAACACAGAGTGGTTGGTCCAAAGGCAAGGAGCTGGTCATTAGTGGAATTTAAATTTGAGCCCTTTCTGATGATCTCCATTTTATAATGAGCAAATTGTGCTTAAGAAATCAATGCACCTGTCCAAAGTCACACAGGAGTCTAGAACCAGGCCTGCACTAGCAGCTAGGAGGCTCTGCCCACACTTCTCAGTGCTGAACAGGAGACCCCACCCAGCTCAAGCCAGCCCACTGCTATTGTTTCTAAAATGCCATTAGCCTAGCCACAGCTTTGTTCCCCAAAGCTCACTCTACAGGCTCATGGGTCATCTCTGAGACCTTCCCATTTTACAGTCCTTAAAATATATAAACCCTAAGCAAAGGGAATCCCAGATCATGGCTGCAATTTCAGGTCAAAATGAAGACGTCAGGAGGAAAGCTTGCTGCTATGTCTCACCTGGTGTCCCTGAGTACCTTAGGCACCTGTCATCCTTAGATGTGAAGAGCAGTGGGGGCTTGAATTTCACAACCAGGCTCAACCCTTCGTTTATCACACCACCTCTCAGAGGAAGGGTCCGTGTGCATTAATCTCTTTTTCCCTGACATTTCAAGTCATTTTGGATCCAATTTAGATCAGAGTTGTAGGAGATTTGTAGAATTGTTTGTGGGGGATGCGATAAGGGCTAGGGGTTGTTAACCATGAAGAGCTTGTGGTCTAGTTGGGAAAACCATACTTACCTGTGTGAAATAATTTCAACAGTATGAAACACTGTACCAGGATCTAACCACATTCTAAGATGCACGGCCCTAAGAGAGGATTTTGCCAGGAGAAATACAGGGTATTAATACCCAAGAGTCATGTTCTTATTTTTAAAAAGGAAGAGGGGTGCCTGTGTGGCTCAGTTGGTTAAGCATCTGCCTTCAGCTCAGGTCATGATCCCAGAGTCCTGGGATTGAGCCCCATGTTGGGCTCCCCACTCAGCGGAGCCTGCTTCTCCCTCTCCCTCTGCCACTCCCCCTATTCATGTGTTCTCTTTTTCTCTCAAATAAATAAATAAAATCTTTCAAAAAAATAAAATAAAATGTAAGCGATCTGGGGTGCCTGGGTGGGTCAGTCAGTTAAGCACTTGCCTTTGGCTCAGGTCCCGATCGGATCGAGTCCTGCATCAGGCTCGCTGCTCAGTGGGCAGGGAGTCTGCTTCTCCCTTTCCCTCTTTTCTTCCCCTGGCTTATCCTCACTCTCTCACTCACTCTCTCTCAAATAAATAAATAAAATATTTATAAAAAAGGACTTATTGGGGTGCTTGGGTGTCTCAGTGGGTTAAAGCCTCTGCCTTTGGCTCAGGTTCATGATCCCAGGGTCCTGGGATTGAGCCCCGCAACAGCAGGGAGCCTGTTTCCTTCTCTCTCTGCCTGCCTCTCTGCCTACTTGTTATCTCTGTCAAATAAATAAATAAAATCTTTAAAAAAAGATTTATTTATTGGACAGAGAGAGAGATAAAGTGAGAGAGGGAACACAAGCAGGGGGAGTGGGAGAGGGAGAAGCAGGCTTCCCACCAAGCAAGGAGCCCGATGTGGGGCTCAATCCCAGGACCCTGTGATCATGACCCAAGCCAAAGGCAGCCACTCAACAGCTGAGCCACCCAGGCACCCCATCAAATAAATAAATAAATAAAATCTTAAATAAATAAATAGGAAGAGCTGTTTGAAAAGAAAGTTCTAGATAGGAAACCAGTGAAAATCTTCCCGAAACACATACCCTAACTAGCAGGGGGAATTCTGGGGTTTTATTCCTAACAGAAAAGTAGAATTTTCGGGGCACCTGGGTGGCTCAGTGGGTTAAAGCCCCTGTCTTCGGCTCGTGTCATGATCCCAGAGTCCCGGGATCGAGCCCCGAATCAGGCTCTCTGCTCGGCAGGGAGCCTGCTTCCCCCTCTCTCGCTGCCTGCCTCTCTGCCTACTTGTGATCTCTGTCTGTGAAATAAATAAGTAAAATCTTAAAAAAAATAAAAAATAATAAAAAAAAGAAAAGTAGAATTTTCATATTTTACATGTAGATCAGTTAGAATGCTTTTGGCTGACAGGAATGGAATATGCACATTTAATAGGTTTCGCAACAAGGTCATCTATTTTGGATCATCTGTTTTGGACCTCGAGATCATAATCTGAGCCAAAGGTAATCACTTAATCGACTGAGCCACCCAGGTGCCCTAAAGTCACCTATTATTTTACATAATAAGTGACCTCTGCTTTCCTCTTCAAATCCAGGGGTTCACTGTACTTAGTTGTCAGATAGTCAAGTTACATTTAGGTGTAACCAATTCAGTGAAGCAAGAGTCAAGATATTTGCTCCAGGGCATCTCTTTTATCAGGGAAGAAGGGCTCTCCACCAATTACCACCAATTACCTTCCAGGCCAGCATTAGGACTATCCTAGCTGCAAGGGAAGCCAGCAGAGTCAGGACCTGTAATTTTCACCCTCCAAAGAAAGCCCTGCGAGCAAGGAAGATACAGTGGGTCTGGCTGGTATATAGGCAGTACCTGCCACCACCTTGCTGGTCGTTGTGATCTTGTAGTCAATGTTGCAGTTCATATTGGTGAAGATACAAATTGAGTAAGACATACAAGTAATATTGAGTGTTTGCAACACATTATTGTAAAGATAATAAGCAAAGTTCCCAGGAAATCGCTCTGGAAACAAACAAATGGAAAGAAAGAAGATTGACTGTGGAGTCAGACAGACCAAGTTTCGAAACCCAGTTTTACTACTTAATTGAGTACGCCCCTTCAATTTATAAAGCCTGTTTAAGTTTCAACTTCCTCATCTGTTACATACATACATAAAATAAAGGCTTTTATTACCTTTTGTTAGCATCGTTACCAGGAAAATTGTGTGTGTGTGCGCGCGCGTGCGCTTGTGCACGCACGTGTGTGTGTTCTTTTTCTTGCTTGGGGATCAGAAGTGTTTATCTGAGTATGGTCTATGGGCCAGATCCATTTGACTGAAAACTATCCCTTTCCCCCAGACTGGCAGGGTACTTCCATAGATAGAAATCTTCTGGATGCTCTAATACTGAACTCTACCAGGATTGGCCATGGATTTGCTTTGACCAAACACCCCGCAGTCTGGGCTGACTCCTGGAAGAAGAACATCCCCATAGAAGTTTGTCCCATCTCCAACCAGGTATGCATGACCCATGAGACCAACCCTCCAATCTCAGCCTCTGTTCTGATTTCCCAAACTCTTTCCTGTATAATTTCTTGCTCCTCAGCTCACCTGTTTTCAGTATTCCTCCACTGTCTCACTCCGATTAGTAAGTTATTTAGGAATCGTTCCTTGCTTAACCCATTCATAACAATGAGGCAGCAGTGAGGGTGCCCAGTGGGGTGGAAGTTTGGGCAAAGCTATAGACAAAGCTAAAGGGACAGTGAGGAAGCCTAGTGAAGTGGGAGGGGCCATAGGATACTGCTGTTTCCACAGTTGCTTGGGGTTCTTGTGCACCTGTCTGTCTTCCTGTGTTCAGGAGAGCAGCTCTGAGCCAGACCAAGAGAGAGACCAAATGTTTGTGGTGGTAAAGAAACCTGGAAAAAATTAGGAAGAACACGAGGCCTGGCTCTATTTCTGTGTTGTGCCCAGAAGTCATTCCAGTGGTCAGGGATGATGAGGGTAAGAAAGGAGCTGGTTATCCTCAGGGTCTTGCCTCTCTTGGGACAACTCTTTTTATGGTCAAAGTTTGTCCTCCTTTGCCTCTTATTGGCAGGTTCTGAAACTGGTGTCTGACTTGAGAAATCACCCTGCTGCTGTTCTGATGGCCACTGGGTACCCCATGGTGATCAGCTCTGATGACCCAGCTGTCTTTGGTGCCAAAGGTTTATCCTATGATTTCTATGAGGCCTTCATGGGCATTGGGGGAATGGCAGCTGATCTGAGGACCCTTAAACAGCTGGCTATGAACTCTATCAAGTGAGTATCTTGTGTACTTCCCAGATCCCCAACTCGCTCTTCTGCCCTACGACTTGTGTTTATCTCTCTTAGAGTTTTGGGGAAGAAGTCTGGAAGGTTTTTAATGTTTTTTTTCTACATTGCCTCTGTTTCCTTATTGCTCTTGGACTGGGGAGAAAGGTGCTCTGCAAACATCTGAGACCCCCTCAGCTTTTCCCCAACCCTTTCTCTCCTGACCTGAGTGCCTTTTCTCTTGCAGGTTCAGCACCTTGTTGGATACTGAGAAAAAGGCTGCCATGAAAACCTGGGAGGAAAGATGGAATAAGTTTGTAGCCGACCTGGCTAGGAGGCCAAAGTGAGAAGATAGCCATTTATTACCCTGTTCCTCTGCTTCCCTCTGCAAGCTGTTTTCACCTTCTATCATTCATTCTTGAACCTACTCCAGTATAGTTTCTACCTCCATTTCTTTTTTATTTTATTTTATTTATTTGACCGGGGGTGGGGGGGAACACAAGCAGAGGGAGTAGGAGAGGGAGAAGCAGGCTTCCCTCTGAGTGGGGAACCCGATGTGGGACTCGATCCCAGGACCCCGGGATCATGACCTGAGCCGAAGGCAGACACTTAACGACTGAGCCACCCAGGTGCCCCTCTCCCTCCATTTCTTTATCAAAACTGACTTGTCATCAATGGTCTCTACATTGCTTGACCTCTCAGAAACATTCGAACAGTCTACCAAACTCATCTTTTTGAAATATTCTTTTCTCTCAACCTCAGTGACATCAGCTCTTTTGATTTCTCCTTTCTCTCTGGCAGTTGCTCTCAGGGTCCCTTTTCCAGATGCTCTTCTCTCTCAGATCTCTGTGTTGCGTTTCCTCGGGGCTTAGTTTTGCCTCTCCTCTGTTATGTCTCTGCTTCTCTCTTCTTCTCTCTCACTCTATAGTCTTTTCCTAGATAGTCTCATCCACTCCTTCGCTTTTAAATACCATTTATTTGCTGATGATTCCCAATATATTTATTCACTTGGAAGGTTCACAAGAATCTCAGAAACCTACTGTGTGCAATTCTGAACTCAGAATCTCTTCCCTTTCAACTTTTTCCTGGACTTTCTCATCTTGGTAAATGGGACCTCCTTCCATTCCACCCAGCTGCTCTATGTAGAATTTTTCAGTGAAATTCTTGATACTGCTTTCTCCACTTGGTCCCTACATCCAAATGTATCTTGAATCCTCCACGTCTCTCTATCTCTATTGCTATTGGCTGAGTTCAAGCCACTATCACTTCTTGTCTGAATTATAATAGCCTCTTAATTTATCTCTTCTTTCTTTTTTTTTTTGCCTTCTTCCTTTCAATTTTTGCAGAGCAATGACTTCTTTTTTTAAAGATTTTCTTTATTTATTTGACAGAGATAACAGGTAGGGAGAGAGGCAGGCAGAGAGAGAGGAGGAAGCAGGCTTCCTGCTGAGCAGAAAGCCTGCCGCAGGCTCCATCCCAGGACTCTGGGATCATGACCTGAGCCAAAGGCAGAGGCTTTAACCCACTGAGCCACCCAGGCCCCGCCAGAGCAATGACTTTTTAAAGATTAAATTAAATCAGCTTACTCCATTGCTTATAAGTCAGTGCACTTATGAAAACTCAAATGTTTCAGCAGGGCACATAGCTTCCTTTTTAACCTGAATCCCTTTCAGTATCATCCTACTCCAGTCCCCCTGATTGTACCAGATTCTGGCCATACTGGTCCTTTGTTTCTCAAATATTCTGAACTCTATGCTGCATCAGAGTCTTCTCCCATTCTCTCTGCCTGGGATATTCTTTCTTTCCACTTTGTCTAACTGACTCCTGCTCATCCTTCAGGGTTCACCTTTAATGTCACTGTCTCAGAAAAGTTTTCTAGACCCCTAACATATTAATATCTCTCAGGGCACCTTGCTTTTCCCCTTCATGACTCTTACCGTAATTTGTAATTATATATTTCTGTGTTTATAGTCTCCCTCCCTTAGACTGTAAACTCTGTGTAGGCAGGTACTAATGATTGTTTCATGCACACTGTGAACCCAGAGCCTAGCTCTGTGCCCCAAACCTGGTCAGTACTCAATAAAAGATAAGTTGAATGAAATGGATATAACTTGTAGGTATTGAGCTCGTTGCTTAAGCAGGAGGGAACAAAGCAAAGGCTCCCCTAAGAAAAGACCTCATGTGATCAAATGCTGGCACCTGGCCTGGTCTTCAGGAGAAGGAAGGCAAGAAGCCAGCCTTGTCTTTACTTGACTAAAGGAGGTGAAGGAGGATCGAAGAATTCCTTAGATGTTGCAGGGGGATTCAAATGTCTTCTCATCCATCACCCATCACCTGCACCTGAGCTAAAAGGCAGCAGCCCACTCTCTCTTCATGAGTGGTTTATCACTGTTTGGTTCACGACACTGGAAAGAGTCTTGCTGATTAGGGATCCTCAACCACAGGCTGGTATGCAGATGGTACAAGATGATCTTTAAGATCCTGTCTAATTCTGACAGTCTTTGATTTATTGCCTTAGCCAATCCCAGTAGATAGAATATAGGTCTCAACTCAGCTGACTTAAATTTAATAAATGGTGAAAGTGGAACGTAGCAGAATGGACTTCCATAGCAAGTTGTCATGACTGCAGAGATCTCCCAGGAGTGTAAGGTCTCTGGCCTGGACTTGGTGTGATCTCTGATTTGGCAAATTAAATCAGCTACTATTCTTGTCTTCATGCCTGGTTCAAGAGGCTGAGTCCTAACAGTGAACTAGAAACATCAACAGAACCAGATGCTAAGTTATGAAGATCTGGGAAACAGGTTGTAACCCCCTTGGAACTAAGTAATATTTCTGCCAGGAGTTGAGTCGTTAAATCTGATTTCACTTACTCCTTCTGTAGGACTTCCCAGAAGTTACCCTGACATATGTTTTTGGGGAAAACTCGTGTGTTAATTGAATTTTTGTAAATGAAATCATGCTGCACCTGGGGCCTTGCTACTTATTTAAAGGAAATCTGAAGCAAAGCCTTCTGTTAAACATATTTTGTAATTTGAATTATGTAGTCTTTATTTATTTATTTATTTATTGGAATAAGGGTAAATGGTTTTTCCTTCTTTGTCAGGTGAATTGTCTGGAAAAACGTAATGGCCAGGGACACCAAGAGTCCCTGACATGCCAGGCTTATTGTATAAGTCCCTATTATCTGGCCCCTGATGAATGCCCCGGTCCAGCCCCATCCTGGAACTTTTCATCAGCTGGCATAGCTCCCAGGGAAGGGCAGGGAGACTTCTCAAACTGAGGAAATGTTGTTGGAGATGCAAATCATCCTGTTTCCCAGCAGGTGAGAATTTGGGATCCAGCCTTAGGGAAAACCATGGAACATTTTTCTTTCTATCTTGAAATAATGTGAAACCTTCAGAAAAGTCACAAGAATAGTACAAAGAACTCTAACATACTCCTTGTCTAGGTTCCCCAATTATTGACATTTACAACATTTGCTATACCCTTCTCTCTGCATATATATCTGTATCTTTTTTTTTAAATTAACATATAATGTATTATTTGTTTCAGGGGTACAGGTCTGTGATTCATCAGTCTTACACAATTCATAGCACTGTCCCCATAGCACATACCCTCCCCAGTGTCCATCATACAGCCATCCCCTCCCTCCTAACCCCCCTCCCCTCCAGCAGCCCTCAGTTTGTTTCCTGAGATTAAGTCTCTTAAGGTTTGTCTCTGTATCTCTTTCAATGTCTGCATAATAGATCCTATTTTGTCTAGCCAATTGAGACCTAAGATAGCATTATGACCCATTACTTGTAAACACTGCCGTGCACATTTACCAAAGATGGTGTCATTCTCCTGTGTAATCACAGTATAACCACCCAAAATAGGAAATTAACATTGATAAGATAATACCATCCAGCCCAGGCCCTTCTGGGCATATTTCTTTTCTGGCCCAGAAAGATCTTAAAGACTGAACCCAGGATCACATATTACACTTAGTTATGCTCTCTCTTGTCTCTCTACTCTGGGACAGTTCATCAGTCTTTCCTTGTCTTTTGTGACCTTGACATTTTTGAAGAGTACAAACAATTATTTGGTAGAGTGTGTCTCATTTCACGTCTATGTAATGTTTCCTTCTGAAGAGATTCCAATTTATACATTTTCAGGGGAAAGGCCTCAGAAGGGACGCTTTGTCCTTAGTGCATTACATGGGGCGGGGGTGGGAGGTGGGGGGGCACATGGATCAGGGCCTGCTGGAGGCCGTCTGCACCAGCAAGCAACAAATAGTCGCTAAAATTTCAGCCTGTTGTGAAACCAACGGTGGTCTGAAATCGGTCTTTGTGGCATTTTTAATAACTTTTTTTTTTAAAGATTTTATTTATTTGACAGAGAGAGAACACAAGCAGTGGGAGTGGGAGAGGGAGAAGCAGGCTCCCCACCAATCAGGGAACTTCATGTGGGGCTCCATCCCAGGTCCCTGGGATCATGACCCGAACTAGGGGCAGACAATGACTGAGCCACCCAGGCTCCCCATAACTGTTTTTTTTTTTTTTTTTTTAATGTTAGCTCTATCTATCACTAGGGTCCATGGATTCTGATTCTATTCAATGGACTATACTTGAACACTATCATTTCTTTTAAGATGCTCACACTGTTCCACCTTAACTCTGTTAAGCTGGCTCCTGTGACTGATAAATTCTTAAAAATTTTTGAGAACCTCCTTATTTTTTGACAAAATTAAATATCCTAGGTTCATTTGTACTTTCCTCATCTCATACTGGACATGAGCTCTTCTCCAAAGAACTCTGGTTCCTTGGTTAGAAAACCTTGACCTGAGCATTAGATGTGCTGCTGTGTGTATACACATACATAAATGTAATTTATATATGTGCATATGTGACTATAACTTCTATTGTTAAAAAGAAAACCACACTCTCAAAATGATGTCACTTAGGGTAAGTTACCAAACTGGGGCCTAATACCTAACCTAACTGCATTTTCAACCCCCCCCCCACCCTGGAAATGTAAGTCTTAACTGGTCAGTCAGGAATTTTCTAATCAGTACCAGTAAGATAATCTACCACACAGGCCCTCTCCATCTCCCAAAGATGAGGTCATCCACCTAATAAGAGTCTATGCCCTTCACCCTAAGGGGAGATGACCTTGCCTGGACTTATATTTTCTTTTGCTAATAACTTCTTACCCCATCACCCCACTGTCTTTCCTTTTTTTTTTTTTTTTTAAGATTTAATTTATTTATTCGACAGAGACACAGACAGAGAGGGAACACAAGCAGGGGAAGCAGGAGAGGGAGAAGTAGGCTTCGGGCTGAGCAGGGAGCCTGATGTGGGGCTCCATCCCTGTATCCCAGGATCATGACCTAAGCCCAAGGCAGCTGCTTAACTACTGAGCCATTCAGGTGCCGTACCTTGCCCCCACCCCACCCCGTCACCCCCTTTCCTATGAAAACCTTCCATTTTATAGGGCTCCTCTACTTGCTAGTTGGGATACTGCCTGATTCTCGGAATCACTTAATAAAGCCAATTAGATCTTTGTATTTACTCAGTTGAATTTTTGTTTGTTAACCGTATATATTAGAACACATATATTTACACATATACATTAATATCTATTTCCAAATTTATCTATGTATATTAAAAAACCATGAGTTTGCAGGGTACCTGATTGACTCAGCTGGTGGAGCCTGTGACTCTTGATCTTGGGGTCGTGAATTCAAGCCCCATGTTGGACCTGGAGCTTACTTTAAAAAAGCAAACAAACATAAGTTTGCACCCGTATCTCCCATTCCATTCAATACCATGGGTTTATTCCAGCCTCAGCTCTTCCCATATCTAACTCTGTTCCCCAGCTGTGAGAAACCTGGCTCCTGCTACCTCCGATGCATCTTCCTAGTTCCTGATTCCCCAGGCATGTGATCCCTCCTTACCTCCCACTAACACCGCTTCCGCTGGCCCTGCAGGTCCCTCTGGTTCATGGGAAGGGAGGGGATGAACACAGGGAAGGGAAGGGAAATGAGGGGAAGGGGAGAGGAGGAGAAGGGAGGGGAGGAAAGGGAAAAAGATTTGGAAGAAGGAGAGAAGCAGGCAGGCTTTGTAGAGTTTGAAGAGATCTCTAGAAGGGAACAGATTCACTGGTGGTACTGAAGCTCTCCTTTCAGGGCCTTGCACATGCATGGACCTCTTCTAAGAGAACCCATGGAGTAGTAATTTAAAATACTTTTTCTTAAAAAAATACTTTTTCTTTTTCTTTTTTTTTTTTAAAGATTTTATTTATTTATTTGACAGAGAGCGATCACAAGTAGGCAGAGAGGGAGGCAGAGAGAGAGGAGGAACCAGGCTCTCTGCCAGGCAGAGAGCCTGATGTGGGGCTCGATCCCACAACCCTGGGGATCATGACCTGAGCCAAAGGCAGAGGCTTTAACCCACTGAGTCACCCAGGCACCCCAAAATACTTTTTCTTTAAGAGGGTCCTTCAAATATGTATAAGCCTCAGGGTTCCACAAAATCTGGATCTGGGTCTTGCTCTAGCTTAGCTCTTCATCTGGAAGAATCAGTTGGTTAAGTGTGCCTTAGGCTCGGGTCATAATTGCCAGGGCACTGGGATCGAGCCCCACGTCAGGGTCCCTGCTCAGTGGAGAGCCTGCTTCTCTCTCTCCCTCTGTGATCTCTCTCACAAATAAACAAACAAACGAACAAACAATTTTTTTTTTAAAGATTTTATTTATTTGACAGAGATCACAAGTAGACAGAGAGGCAGGCAGAGAGGAGGAAGCAGGCTCCCCGCTGAGCAGAGAGCCTGATGCCGTGCTCGATCCTAGGACCCCGGGATTGTGACCTGAGCCGAAAGCAGAGGCTTTAACCCACTGAGCCACCCAGGTGCCCCCAACAATTTAAAAAAAAAAAAAGGAAAACAAGGGGAATGTATGTTGGCTGATAAGACTAGCAAACTGGAGATAAGTGTTACAGGGTCTCCGCCTGGAAGGGATCCTGAAAGCTATGTAAATCATAGCCGCTTCTGGAAGAGCCACCCAAAGAATCAGGAAGATGTGCCTGCTTAATTTTTAAAGCTCACCAGAATAGGATTCTGTAAACTGCCTCAGCCACCCAGTCCAGAATCCCAGAATGTCCCTTTTCATAAGTTTGAGATTTTGTGTGACTGCTGGGATCCTTGCCTCTCCCAAGACTCCGTCATTGGAGGACTGGATATATAGAACTGTATCCACAGACCAACAGTAAGTTAGCATGCTGGCTTATAAATATTATTTCCCATACATAATATGTTCTTTACATAGCAGTTACCCTAAAAATGACTTAACCTTCTTGGTCCTTTCTTCTCTGTCCAGAAAGGGGGTAAATGGAGGGGGGGGCTGGCAGAGCTGTTGGGGTATCTGGGAGCCCGGTGGGGACAGGGAGCAGTTTCCAGCTGGCTTTCCGGGGATGGGGGCCACATCTTGAGTACTCAATGCTTACATGTAATGGTGCGCAGGGTGGGGGACCAGAGCTGCTGAGTTTCGGGGTATCCCAGCTTTCAGCCAAAAACCTTTTCCTCCTCCACCTTCAGGGTGGCCTGGATCCAATCCAAAGGGACCTTGCCTGGGGACTGGCCAGAGATCATACGTAAGGCAGATGAGGTCTGTCCTGGTCCAGCCAGATCTTCCCAGGGTTAAGGCCCTTCTGGGGCAGGGAAGGGTAGAAGACTGGAATTTTTAGAGTCATAGCATACTGGAGCTGGGAGCGGCCTAAAGATCATCTTATCTAATTCTGTGTTAACAGAGGACTCACTTAAGGCCCAGAGAGGGTAAACAACTCTCTCAAGGTCACACAGTAGGTAACAGCAGGTTTCCAGAGTCTTAGGTAGGGGTTCATACTACAACACAGGGCTGTTCTCTCTTCTTGTCTGAAGCACCTCTCAGTAACAGGTTTCCAGAAACTCCTGGCAGGCCTAGGTCAGTTCTCGGCTCAGAGGATGGAGTTGGGCTACTGCAGCCTCCAACTCACTCTCAGACAAACTCTCCACCGTTCCCCTTGCTTGATGAGGACAGAACCAGTAGCCCTACTGGGAGCAGTGATCTTCCTCCTGGGACAGGCTGACCCCTCTTGTGACCCCTGGCTCTCCTTTGGCAGAGTTCCAGTCCCGGAAACCTGCTCAATTTCCTGTCCCCCACCAGGAGGAATGGATCCTTGGAGTCTAGGGCCTTCTCTTTGTCCAGGGTTTGTCCAGGGTCCCTGGGAAGGCAGAACTCAGGTCCCGGGAATCTCCGCCAGCCCCCACCCCCACCGCCCCCCAGCTTGCAGACAGCTGTGGTCCTCGGAGGTCCCCATGACTGCCATTTAGTGGGAAATGGCCCAAGACAGAAGCATGTGGAAAGCAAATGGCGATTAGTGTGAGACTGAGGAGGGTAAGAAGGACCTTTCCTGGCGGGAGCCTAGTCCTCTTCCCCTGTGGCAAGGGGCAGGCGGACTGCGGCGTGCTGCTGACCCCTGGTGGCCACTTGCGGGACCACAGAAATGTCTCCCACAGCTCCATTCTCTTTTTGGTTCCCTTATCCTCTGCTGTCGCCTCCTGTCACTGCTGGGAGTAACACTTAAGACAATAAGTAACATTTAATAATAATACTTTCTGATTGTAAAACATGCTTGTAGTAGCGAATCTGTAAACTCCAAAAAGTATAGATGAAACATAAATATTGGGGCACCTGACTGGTTCAGTCAGAGGAGTGTGGATCCTTGATTTCTGGGTTCTGGGTTTGATCCCCAAGTGGGGTGTAGAGATTACTTAAATAAATGAAACTATTTTTTAAAAGATTTTATTTATTTATTTGACAGAGGGAGAGAGAGAGTACCAGCAGGCAGAGCAGCAGGCAGAGGGAGAGAGAGAAGCAGGTTCCCTGTGGAGCAAGGAGCCTGATGTGGGGCTGGATCTCAGGACCCTGAGATCATAACCTGAGCCAAAGGCAGCCACTTAACCCACTGAGCCACACAGGTAGCCCTACAGTTACTATTGCTCCATTCCCTACCCACAGTATAATAGTCCTCAAGGTCTCATTCCAGTTCCCTTCTTCTGCCTTACCTCTTGCCACTACCTTCCTCATATGCTTTGCTTTTAGCTGCCTCATCTTCCCCTCCTAGGTAGAAAGGTCTGCTCTTGACTTTGGGCCATCCTGTATGTACAAATTTAGAGCACATAGTATAGGATGAGGGGGTACTGCCATAATAATTTTTAAATTGTATTATATTTATTTATTTATTAAAAATATTTTATTTCTTTATTTGACAGAGAGAGAGAGTGAGCACAAGCAAGGGGAGCAGCAGAGTGAGAGGGAGAAGCAGGCTCTCCACTGATCAGGGAGCCCCAAGCGGGGCTCTATCCCAGGACCATGACCCGAGCCGAAGGCAGAGGCCCAACCAATTGAGCCTCCCAGGCGCCCCTAAATTTTATTGTATTTAAAATAAAAATTTTGAATAGGTATACAATCATATTTTTAAAAAGAAAAAAATATGTGAAAAGAACAGATTGGAAAGTCTTATGTCCATACCAACTTCACCCCATCCTCTTTCGCACCCCAACTATTTTTCCCACAATACTTAGTAGTTTCTCATGTTTCTTCGTGCAAAATAAACAAGTGCAAATATGAATGTTCTGTTTTCCCTTTTCTGATACAAAAGACAGCATATTATGCATACTGTTCTGGACTTTGCTTTTTTATTTAACAGTATGCTCTGGGAATCTTTTCCATTTTGGGTTATAGAGAGTACTTCCTTTTTCTAACTCAGTGTTTCATTGTGGTAACATGCCATAGTTAACAAAGCCCCAACAAGTTGGCATCTGGATAGCTTTCAAATATCCTTTATTATAAACACTGTGCAATAGAGTAAGTACCTGTTTTATTTGATGAATGAAGAAGAGGCCAAGTACCAAGAGCCTTGCAGGCACTTCCCTGAGTTTATAGACTTGTGTCTTTCTGGATTCCTCCATGACGGCAGCTCAGGTGAGGCCCAGAGAAGGTGCTGTCATCACCCGTGCACTGGCTGATGGGAAGCAGGGTCTTGCTTTATAGGTCACAGGCCTGGTCCACATAGATTAGAAATAGAAATGGAAAAAAAGAAAAATGTGCCAATGAGATTTTTAAGGAACAATAAGGAATCACTTTCTTTACCTTTTCATTTTCTCTTCTTTCTTTCCTCCTTCCTTCCTTTCTTCTTTCTTTCTCTTTAAGATTTATTTCTTTATTTGAGAGAGAGAGAGAGAGAGAATGCCAGTGGGGAGGGGCAGAGGGAGAGGGGGAGAGAATTTGGAGCAGCCTCCTCACTGAGCCCAGAGCCTGACATGGGGCTCGAGCTCAGGACCCTGAGATCATAACCTGAGCCAAAACTAAGAGTCCCACGCTCAACCGACTGTGCTCCAATTTTCTTTTCTATCAGACACAATTTTCTGTAGTACATAAGGGACTTTTGCAACACTGTCTGTTCTGTAAAAGGGGTGGAGAGCTTGAGGAGTTGATGCCTTCTAGACTGTGAACTCTGGTAATGGCCTTTTCCTGAAACTCTTCCTTTGCTTCCTTCAATTATCTCCTGATGCTTGGAGCTCATCTAAGTTTCCAGACCTCATTCAGAAAAGCCCTGCCCTCCTTTACTCTTGAATAACTCACCTTGAGCAGAGAACAGAGTGCTGGCACTCTAGCTCTAGTTCTGCCTCTATTCCCATCTCCTGTGTATGTGTGTGTGTGTGTGTGTGTGTGTGTGTGTGTGTGTGTTCGCAAGCATTGTCACTAGAGGGGCTGGGCTGGGTGTTTTCTTAGGAACCTTTCTGGCTCTGATATTCTCTTCATTGCTCTTAAGGAAAAGTTAACACTATAGGGAGAAACCACAGTCTATAGGAAGGCAATGGGAACAACGGATAAAGGGGAAGGTTTGAAAAATCAAACCCTGAGGTGCCTGGGTGGCTCAGTGGGTTAAAGCCTCTGCCTTCGGCTCAGGTCATGATCCCAGGGTCCTGGGATCGAGCCCTGCACTGGGCTCTCTGTTCAGCAGGGAGCCTGCTTCCCCCCGCTCCCCTGCCTCCCCCGCCCCTGGCTCTCTGCCTACTTGTGATCTCTCTCTCTGTCAAATAAATAAATAAGTAAAATCTTTTTTTTTTTAAGATTTTATTTATTTATTTGACAGAGAGAGAGAGAGACAGCGAGAGAAGGAACACAAGCAGGGGGAGTGGGAGAGGGAGAAGCAGGCTTCCCACCAAGCGGGGAGCCTGATGCGGGGCTCGATCCCAGGACCCTGGGATCATGACCTGAGCCAAAGGCAGATTCTCAATGACTGAGCCACCCAGGCACCCCAATAAATAAAATCATAAAAAAAAAAACCCAAGCCCTGAGTTAATCTTGGAAAGAAACCTGGTGAGGGCAAGTTGGGTGACCATAGGACCTGGTGGTCTCAGATGAAGGCCTACTCCTTCTCTTCTGCTCTGCTTCAGGAGTCATATGGCAGAGACTGATGTTATCCCGTGGTCTATGTTACCCCTTTATCCTTAGAAATAAAGATTTCTTTTTTAAATAAATAATAAATAAACTATTGGGACTACATAAAAATAAAAAGCTTCTGCTGAGCAAAGAAAATTAGAATCAACAAAACTAAAGGCAACCTACTGAGTGGGAGAAGGTATTTGTAAATGACATATCTGATAAAGGCTTAGTATCCAAAATATTAAAGAACTTATACAACTCAACACCAAAACCCCAAATAATCCCATTAAAAATGGGCAGGAGATGTGAACCAACCTCCAGAAGAAGACATCCAGATGGCCAACAGACACATGAAAAGATGATCAATATTTCTCATCATCAGGGAAATGCAGATCAATACTACAATATCACCTCACACCTGTCAGAATGAGTAAAATTAACAACACAAGAAATAAGTGTTGGTAAGGATGTGGAGAAAAAGGAACCCTTGTGCACTGTTGGTGGGAATGCAAACTGGTGCAGCCACTGTGGAAAACAGTACAGAGAGGGACACCCAGGTGGCTCAGTTGGGTTAAGCATCTGCCTTTGGCTCAGGTCATGATGCTGACCTGATTAAAAATATTTATTTTATTTTTTTAAAAAAATATTTATTTATTTATTTATTTATTTATTTTTGAGAGCTTGAGAGATAGTGAGAAAGAGCACAAACAGGGTAGGAGGGAGAAGCAGGCTCCTGGCTGAGCCTGGAACTGGAGGTAGAGCTTGATCCCAGGGCTCTGTGATCATGACCTGAGCTGAAGGCAGACGCTTAACTGACTGAGCCACCCAACAATAGTTCATTTTTGTTCTTGTTTCCCTTGCCCCAAAAGACCTATCTAGAAAAATATTGCTTCTACTGATGTCAGAGAAATTACTGCCTACACTTTCTTCTAGGATTTTTATGGTTTCAGATCTTACATTTAGGTCTTTAATCCATTTTGAGTTGATTTTTGTATATAGTGTAAGAAAATGGTCCAGTTTTGGGGGAACTGGGTGGCTCAGTAGGTTAAATGTCTGCCTTTGACTCAGGTCATGATCCCAGTGTCCTGGGATTGAGCCCCACCAAGGGCTCTCCACTCAGTGGGGAGCCTACTTCTCCCTCTCCCTCTGCCTGCTGCTCTGCCTAGTTGTGGTCTCTGTCAAATAAATAAAATTTAAAAAAAGAAAGAAAATGGTCCATTTTCATTTTTTGCTTGTTGCTGTCCAGTTTCCCCAGCACCATTTGTTGAAGAGATTTTCTTTTTCCCGTTGGATAGTCTTTCCTGCTTTATCAAAGATTAATTGACCATGTAATTGTGAGTTTATGTCTGGACTGTCTATTCTGTCCCATTGTGTCTACTTTTGTGCCAGTACCATACTGTTTTGGTTACTGCAGCTTTGTAGTATATCTTGAAATCTGAGACTTTGATACTTCCTGGTTTATTCTCTTTCCAGATCGCTTTGGCTATTCAGGATCAGAGTCTAGGGATTAAGCTCTGCTTTGGGCTCCCTGCTCAGCAGGGGTCTGCTTCTCCCTCTGTCCTTCATCCTGCTCATGCTCTCTCTTGCTCTCTTTCAAATAAGTAAATAAAATATATTTAAAAAAAATTTTATTTATTTGACAGAGAGAGCATAAGCAGAGGGAGAAGCAGCCAGAGGGAGAGGGAAAAGCAGACTTCCCACTGAGCAAGGAGCCTGATACAGGGCTTGATCCCGGGACTCTGGGATGTGACCTGAGCCAAAAGGAGACCCTCAACCGACTGAGCCACTCAGGCACCCCTTGGTGGAGTCTTTAGTGTTTCCTGTATATAGTATCATATCATCTGCATATAGCAAAAGTTTTACTTTTCTTCTTACCGATTTGGATACCTTTTATTTCTTTTTGTCATCTATTTGCTGTGGCTAGGACTTCCAGTACTACATTGAATGAAAGTGGTAAGTGGACATTCTTGTCTTGTTCCTGATCTTAGGGGAAAATCTCTCATTTTTTCACATTGTGAATGATGTTCACTGTGGGTTTTTCATATATGGTTTTTTTTATGTTGTGGTATGGTCCCTCTAAACCTACTTTGTTGAAAGTTTTAGCATGAATAGATGTGGTACTTTGTCAAATGTTTTTTCTGCATCTCTTGAAATGTCATATGTTTTTTATCCTTTCTCTTATCAACATGAATGCACTTGCAAACATCAAACCACCCTCCCATCCCAAGAATAAATCCAACTCAACTGTGGCGAGTGAGTTTTTTAAAGTATTGTTGGATTCAATTTGCTAGTATTTTGTTGAGGAGTTTCACATCTATAGTCATCAGGGATATTGGCATGTAGTCCTGTCCTTTCCTTTCCTTTCTCTCCCCTTTCCCTTCTTTCTTTTTTTCTTTCTTTTTTTCTGTAGTGTCTCTATCTGATTTTGGTATCAGGATAATACTGGCCTCTTAGAATAAATTTGGAAGCTATCCTTCCTCTTCTATTTTTTGGAATATTTTGAGAAATCTGGCAAATATATTTATGGCCATTACTTTAAATCATCTATCAGGCATATTACTTACCTTTGTTTCTTTTAGTTCTCTTGTGATTTTGTCCTGTTCTTTCCTTTGGGACATATTCCTCTGTTTCCTCATTTTATCTAACTCTCTGTGTCTGTTTCTGTGTGTTAGGAAATTCAGCTATGTCTTCTGCTCTTGGAAGTAGTGGCCTTGTGAAGAAGTCTTATGTTCATAAACTGGCACTTCAGGGGTGTTTCCTGTGTGTGTTGTGTGTACCCTGCTGTGTGGCTCAGACACATTTTTTTTTTTAAGATTTTATTTATTTATTTGACAGAGATCACAAGTAGTCAGAGAGGCAGGCAGAGAGAGAGGAAGGGAAGCAGACTCCCTGCTGAGCAGAGAGCCCGATGTGGGGCTTGATCCCAGGACTCTGGAATCATGAGCTGAGCTGAAGGCAGAGGCTTTAACCCACTGAGCCACCCAGGCACCCCTGGCTCAGACACATTTGCCTTCAGTCCAGTCATCTGCTATGGCTCTGTTCACCTGTTGTGGGCTGGGTTTGGTCCCTGTGTTGTTAGTGGGCCAGTCCAGGGCCATCCTGGACTTGAGTTAGGTCAGACCAGACATTTGCCAGAGCTGTTGGTGTTCTCTCGGTGTTGTCCTCTGAGAAGCTTTCCTT